TATATTATCTTTGACCTGCCCACCTCTAGGTTTACCACAGGCAGTGGCTCCAGCGTTTCAGGCTGCTCGGCTCGCTCGTACCCGCTCGCTTGCTCCGTTCGGCTTGCGCTTGCGTCCGCGGTCTCCGACACATTGGCACTGGGCGGTGGCTTGGGGTCTGCACCCGAGTGGCTGATGCCAGCAGAGGATCGCTCCATCCACTTCTTCACCCTGACCAGGATTGATTGGATATGACAGGTGGGAGTGTTCTGTGTCAAAGTGTCGTGCTCGTCTATTCTTGAAAACTCCAAAACATCAAACCTGATTAGCTCTTATTAGCTCCACGGCTATCTCTGCCGGCTCTGCCCTGAAAACCGTGCGAAGTGCCTACTCTCATCCTGGTATAGCAAAGGCTTGAGGAATGGGACATCCTCCGCCTTTCGCGTTCCTGCATCACAAGGTCGGGCCACGAAATGTCAGGGAGTAGTGTTATCTGAGCTACAGTTGTCCCAAAGCGACACGGCCAAAGTATCCTGTGCGACCCGGCCAGTTCGTAGGGGTTTGTTGGGGGCCAGGGTCTACACCTAAAACTCCTCCAGACTTTAAACACTTGCACACTGCGTGTACTTATTTTGACAATTGCTTTATATAATATGACCGTTATGGTTTAACCCGACGCCGTCCTCCCAGAGTGGGTGGGAAGATGCTGGCAGGGCCTATGGCCCGAAGTACATTCTGGACATCTGATCCGGTCGCAGTTCCCATGACCTTGATTCGATTCGATTGTCGTTTGGCCATGAAGGTGGTCGCAAAGGCGGTGATGGCACGCACCATGAATGGTGCATTCACCACCAGCAAAAGAATGTCCTGCTAGGGTTTGAGGCACTATCTTGCTTAAGAGGGTCTCAAAAAATACAAACACGGGAACAATGACCACAACCATCTCCTGCTCGCAGTAGAAACTCATGATCTTGCCCAGGTTGTCTTGGGCAAACTTTCGAATTTCTGGCACGAAAACCGGAAGAGTCTCGTTCCCCAGCTCTTTGCAGTCGATCCTTAACCAAGCTGAGCAGCTCGACATGGATCCACAAGAGTTGCATCATGCTACAAACTAACGACCCAAGTGAGGTTAACAGTTAGCCAAACAAGGACAGGTATCAGCTTGATCGCGTAGCACATCCTGCGTCTCTTGTAGCAATTGTCATCCACTTGCTTCATGAAGTACTCCAATGAGACCCGGATGAGAGCAAGGTCGTTTTCCAACGTGTGGCAGGCAGGCCGCTTGCTCACAAATTCGTTGGGCTCAGCGGTGCGCGCGGTGCCCAGCGACCGATGTTCTCTGCTCTTTTGTTCGGGGCAAAAAGGATGAATGGTGGGTAGGGCCAGCAAACGATATGCAGGGTGGAATGAATGGAATGTGGGGCCTGTAGGGGTATCTTTAGGCAGCCTTTCTGTCTAGTCAGAATTCGGATGCAAACGCAAGAACCACATCAGGACAAGGTGCCTTGAATGATCCTGGCGATGTGAAAATGACAAAGTGCCCGTCCTGGAGTGATAGTTTCAAACATTCTTCCATGAAGCCCCTCCATAACAAAGAGTAAAGAAAACGTATTTGTCTAGTGATAGTTAGTGAGGCCGGGCCAGGTGTATGGCGTGGACAAGCAAGCAGCCTCCCGATCGGCGCTGATCGACCGTCCTGTGTCGTGGTAAATCCTGGAACGAAATGCGGAGTGTAGGGTGACATCACCGACCTCGGCCAAGAAACGAAGCCACAAGCGTGAAGGGACGATAAGCCATTGCTGTGTGAAGGAAACCCGCCTGTCTCACCCGCCGACTCCGATCCCCGCAAAATCAAAGGCGAAGGAACTCAAGCCACTTGGTGAAGTCTTTCAACTCCAAGTCCATGAGGCCCTGCACATGGAGGCCACTGCAATGATCTCAATTGCTCTATGCAATTTTGTAAATCCAGTCTTTGGAGGCCTCCAAGAACTGCTTTTCAATATAGTAACTCTTTGTTATTTGGGGGGGTGCCGGGGGTACGGTCCGTGTATAAATAAATATATATATATATATAGTAATAATTAATAATATATGGTGTCGTTAACTTTGTGTTTGTCTCGGTCGGGTGTCTCTCCTTCTTGCAACATCTTGCAACCATTCTGTAGATAAATGATAAAAGATAATGAGACAAATTCGTCTGCATCGCAAGCTGCCAAACCATGTGGCCATTGTAGAGTCAGCTTGTTGTGGGTAGAATCTAGTGGCATGAATGAGTTGTGGCAAACCCGGTGCATGCCGCACTTGCCTGGTCTTTGTAAGCGCAGGCGCGGACATACATGGACTCCACAATACTTGTGAAGTCATGTGACTCCGACACGGTTCAACAAACTGGTGCTGCTCCATTCAAAAAAATAGCCTCTCCACTTCGTGTCTCACTGGTAGTCGGATAGGGTCTGGTGACAATCCCGCGGCCCCTTGCTTCCATCCTCCCAAGGTTGCTGGATTGTTGGGGCTGCACCACTACTAAGTTTCTCATTACCTATTTCATCCTATATCTTTGTTCTTCAAGCGTCGATCCTTGGACAAAACCGATCTTTTCGCGTTCATCTGTTTCTGTTTTTGAGTCATGATGTTTAAAGATCGAGGGGGGGAGGCAGGTCGCCCGCAAGAAGAGGTATATAGATGGTAGCTAGTGAGCAGGACGCTCCTAGGTAGGACGCAGGATAGCTCACGCTTTGGGGGGAGCTTCCTTGAAGAAACGCTCACACTAATCATTTGGTTCCTAGATTTTTGGGGAATCTTAATCCCAATGGGTGATTTCTCTCTCTCTCTCTCTCTCTCTTTGGGCAGAGTCTGGCCACCATATGGGACACTCTTATCAAAACTAGGATGTTCAAGGCCAAAAGCACGATAGAACACAACAACCCAACTTTGCTAACGAATTATCCATGTCAAGGTTTGCACGAGCACCATGAGAACATGCAGCCGTTGTTACTTCAGAACGACCTTCCCTTCTCAATGCTGGGTGGCTGGACAAAACTGAGACATTAACATCAAACGTTGTTGATGAGTGAATATTACCCTGTGATTATGTGCGTGCGTGATGAGAGCAATGGTAAATTTATGTGTTGTGCTCAAACTATACTAGACTGCACAGGTGAACTCAGACCCGTCCGTGGACCCTACACCCTTTTTCTAGACCCCGCCTCTCGTAGAACATGGATCTTCTCATCCACCCAATACTGTAAATACTTGGCAAAGGCTGCCGAGGCCTGCTGGAAGGCCGTGTGGTAACTTGATATCCCACTGCATCAATAACCGTATATGTATAATATAGATACTGTATGCGATTATATGTGTGTATAATAACGACAATGCTTGGCCTTAGGCCCTAGACGTCGATTGGTCAGGATGACTTGAATCCTCCAAAATTGGTTGAGCTTTGTCGCTGCCCAATTGATTCTTCCTATTCCGTCCCTATTCCTCTTTTTTATATGATCTTTTTATCCTCTATTGACTCTATTAGTCTGCATGTCTGTGCACCATTTGTCGTTTGACCTGTCTCACGGGTATAATCACTCGGGGCAGTATATTTTATCGCCCCAATGACCCACAGCCTTCGCCACATCACCGCTGTAGAAACGCAAGTAGCGGCAAACTCGGATGTCTCCAACCACATCACGGGGCTTTTCCGGCATGGCCGCAATCTGGTCCTCAAACGCTCAAGTCTTCAACCATTGGCATGGCATTAGTTGCTGTGCAAAAAAGCCCAACATGGTCCAACTACATGCGACTTCTGGGCGACAAGTGCGGCCAGGCTTCTGCACAATTCTTACGGATTTCTTCCACTTTGGCAAGTTCCGCATCTGTAGGCCAGGTGAGGTCCTAAGTGAGCAAAAATCTATTCAAAAAGGTGGTGGTGTTAACATCCTTGGGTGCCTACGTAGAAACCCACGGTTTGCCTACGTTTCCACAGTGCAAGCCTACGGCAAACATGACTTATTACTATAAAATGCCTACGTCAAACCTACGAACGTGAGGTGTTAGAGAAATACTGTTCAATTTTGCGTACGGTACCATGCAGTTCTTGCAAGTCTCCCCATGTCTTCGACATTAGGAGTACGGAGTACGTCTCAGCACAGCAGCTTTTAGATATAGTTGAAAGTACCCTAGGCAAGCGGACATCGAGGAATGATCACGAAAATGCATTTTCGCCTACGACTGTACAGAGAACCTACGGTGAGCCACCAGGAACAAAAAAGCGTCCTTGGGGATACTGTTGGGTGTGTTCATCTCCCACACACAGGCAGCGGCCTTTAAAATTCCCTGAGCTCGATTGCTCATGGACAAAACATGACAAAACACCGACTAACTTGAGAGACAAACGTATCAACACACATCCGTTCAAAGTGAATCAGCAACACAAGCTGGATGACTTCAAGGCATGCTATTTTAATGGATGTATGGTCTTCTACGGCAAGCGCCTACGACAAACATTGCACAACAAAATGCCTACGACCGCCTATGTCCCCAAGCAGGTTGCCTACGCCACCCTTTTGAAGATTACATCTTGTATAAACCCTTTCATATATTAATAACAACTCAGCTATTAAGTGAAATAGGGCAATATGGGTCACCGCGCAGGGTGGCTCTGGGGCTGTTTCGGATGATTTCAGCAAGTTGTCTCAGTTTGCTTTGTTGCAAGCCCTTTCCCAGCACGTGCAACTTCAAAGGTTTCAGTGATTTGACATCAAACTCTGCCAAGTATCCGCGCCATCGATTTTGTATGACATCTTTACCACCCGGCGCCCCACCTTCAACATCAACCACTAATTGAAATGGCTGCAGTCGCGTCATGAGTGAGAGAATAGAGCATCACATCAAGGGACTTTGCGTATCTTGAGTCGTCCAGTCAGTATGTCGATTGGCGACCTGACGCCTTTCGCACTTGACCAAGTCCAGCAAAGCTGTAGAGCTACGTGAAGCAAAAAATACTTGCCCACTGCAGTCGAGGCAGCCACCAATTGCATCAATTAGCAGTGGTCTTCGCCAGTCCTCAACCCAGTCAATAATCCACAACTGGAACCTTTGCATTGCAAAGATCTGGCAACACATAAATATGTATACATGTGCACATGTTCATTCCGTGAAATTGACACCAATACTATTGCGCCGTCTGCCGTCTGCCTGTGACCTTCGAAAGGCTTGGACCCCGCACACCATCACAATACATTCCGACCTTGGCATCTGACCAACCACCAGAGCAATCACGGCGCTGCGTCATTCCGCAAACGATGACAGCCACATGCGGTGTCTTCTGGCCGCTGGCTACGGCCAAGTGTTTGAAGCTCTCACTGTGTTTCGATAATCAAACATTTGAGGCGTTCTTCTCAGCTGCAGGGCCATTTGAGTCATCTTGTGTAAGCGATCCACCGCCCAGTCACCCAGCAATCCCAGCCTAAGAGCTCATGCGCGAGGTTCACACAATAAAGGGAGGCTGGTGACAACAGCCCTGATTTCAAAACACTATTGACATTTCTTCTGACAAATGATTAATGTATAAATACACACAATAGCGCAAATACTGTATCAAATTTGGAGGCCCTGAAGGCCTGAAGGCTGCAAGACTGGGGATTTCATTTCAGCATCAATCATGTGATAGCTTGCAGTCCAATGGGTGTCAGCATGCCTGTGCAGGCCAATTCAATCCAATTCTGCAGTGCTCTTGACTACCAAACGAACCAGTAAGCAAAAATGAGCAATCCTGGACAGTCCCACAATATCTGGGAGGATGACTTCCCACCCTTAAGCTGCTCGTTGTGTCACGAGTTAGAACTTTAAGGTATTCAGGCACAAAATTGCTCACTATGCTCACCTGCATTTGCTTTGGTGAGATGCACTTATCTCAGGCTGCAGCGATTTCAGGATCACTGTGACACCCTCCGTGGCAACATGCGGTGACCCAACATGCTTTCTTTCACCCACAAACCGGAGGGTTGCATTGGATTGCGTGACAAGTACAAATATTGTTTGTGGCTGACGGAACCCGGTCAAAGTACATACAGAAGACTCAAAAGACCAACAAAAAGCCAAACACTTATACTATATAGTCGAGTTAGTCATAATGTGTCATAATTAGAGGTGGACTCAACCAAACAGAATAAGTGACACAAAACAATCGTTGGCACTTGCATTTCGATCAAATGACAGCAAACCAAACAAGTAGAGCACCGAAATGTCCTGAGGAAAGAAGGACCGAAGGGCGGAAGAGGAGGCTTGGAACTTCAGGCTGAATGATTAATGGAACAGTCTCAATACGATACAAGTTCATAGCCTAGCCACCGACCTACGAAACGTTTCACTCTTGTCAGTGGAGCCTCTGAGAAACGCCCCTGCGGTGAACGAACGGCTTTCCTCAAGCTTCAGGCCACCAGTGGTATGGACAGTATGCTTCGTGAGCCTGGCCAAGGTGCTGCTGCTGCTCCTGTTTAACAGAAAGTGGTAACCAACTCTTACGTAATTAGGCACTTGGGATGAGTCAGGAAACTGCCTTGATCGAAGTAGCACCTGCAATGATTCTGTAGTAGTCAAGGCACGACCTATCCTGACCAGATCTGGAAGTAAAAAGTGTGAACACGTGTGAGCTACAGATCATATCTTCGTGGCCTTGGCTTTTCACACAAAGTCATTGATGTTTTTCGTTCTCCGCAGCCGCCTCTTGACCGTGTCTTGAACGTATTCGAGCCTCAGGCGCATCTCCGAGCGATCCTTTGCCTGTCAGTTTCTGTTGACGGACTTTGACTTTGTTATTCGCACCAAATTATAGGAACACATTGAACAACATGAACAATATTATACAATATTGGTGCTATTCATTTGGCTATTCATTTGGTGCTGACATCTTGCCTGTCTAGCTCTTTGGCCCTGAGCAGCAGGCTTGCCATACATCACCATCAAGAACGTGACATCTCCAATGCCAAAGCGGCTGTTCTGCACAATGCTGACCTACCGTGCGGCTATAGGAATTCGCTTCACTTTCTGACGCAAGAGATGTCATGTCAAAATTAATGTTACTTTCTGCATCCCGGCTGGCTCTGCGATTCCGATCGTTTTAAGTACTGGTGAAGGTGAGACATGGAGTACTCATGAATAAGGCATGTCAAACTTTTGGACTCAAACATGAGTTGCCCCCCAAAAAAATCCAATTGTTGGGCAAGTTGGGCTGCTTGGACTCCAATGATCATCTGCCATCATCTGCATATTCTTCCTTGCAGCCTTGGGAGATGGGCTACTGGAGGTGATCACCATGCAACCTTCCCAAAGGACTTCCCGAAGCGCTGCAAAGGTCTAGGAAGCTCTAAGGACACCTCCAAAAACGCCCTGTCCAGCGGTCGGAGAACGGCCTGTTTCTGGAAGACAGGTCTAAAAAAAAGAAAGAAAAGGCAACGGCAAAGGTTCCAAGTCTTGGCAGAAAGCAGTGCCGCCAAGTCTTGGACCCGTACACAGATTTCCAGGGCGTCAAATGAACTAACTCTGGGCACCGACATTGGGTGTCAGGTATCGTCAGGTCTGACAGCCAAAATGATCCAAGATGAGTCATGAGTCTGAGCACAAGATGCCTTTAGCACGGTAGAGTTCCACTACTCATCTACAGCTCTTTCAGCCAAAAGATGCCAAAAGGAGTGAAACTTAGCCTCTTTTTCCTGGAGGAGGGCCCTTTTGCAGCAGTTCCAAGCAACACGCCATCAGTGGATGTCTCATGGCCATCAGGCAACCCGAACGGTCTCCCACCTTCGTGCGATCCGAACTGGCATGCACTGACCAATAGTCCCAGGGATCCCCGAAGTCGGCCAGCTCGTACATTGGCCTCGGCAGTCGAATCGGGGCATCTGGGTTGGCAGCATCCTGCATGGACCAAGTCGAATCAGTTTTATACTTGTCGAACCCATTTGGACACTGATTTTCTGCTCTCAGCTGGCTGAACTGCAGTCTTTACATCTCGCTGCTCAGCTTCACCTCAATCCTTCAAACATCTCCTGCTCACGATGCGGAACGAAATCGAATTAAGTAAAGTAATCCTGGACCTCGGCAAAAAGAACCGCAACCTTCCTAAGGAACGCTCCCTCGTGCATGATGAAGCACAATATTCATACTGGTGGTAGATGGCAATGTATCTGCAATGCTTTATACATTTCACATATTTCACACAAGACATGACATGCTGCCACTGTTAAGCCAAAGCAACCCTTGTTCCAGCCGTGCGGTCAGCCAAAGCCAAAAACACAAAGCACATAGTACCAAAGAGCCAAGCCCAAAGCAAGTGACCAAGTGGAAAAGCCAAAGCAAAAACCGCATTCCAATCTCAGTGAGATATCAATTTCATAAGTTCCATGAGTGTCTCCTACGTTATCCCGCACAGACTCATCCAAATACATGTGTGCTGCCTCATTAAAGTTCTGATCAACAAGCGCATCCCTTGTCCTTCCAGCGCGGCTTCCGCTTCTCAACTGCTGGCACGGGCAACTGTGAGGGTTCCGCTAAGCACTGCGCCAAGTGTCGCGCCACCTGGTGGTGGATTCATGGTGCGGGGAGATGTGGCATGTGTTGTCTTTCTACATTTTTGACGATGGCTATCAGCACAATAGTAAATATAATACTAAAACATAAAATTACATTCCATTACGTATATAATATATATATATGCAATTATATAAATGATATATAGTTATGGCTCATGCAAATGATTATAGAAGCATAGACTATCATACTCATCAAACTCTAACGGGGACATTGATGCAAAATCACTGATCAAACACGGCTACAGAATACCATATACATCCATATGCTACCTAACTAACTCTCTAGCTCACTATGCTCTTGGGCTCTGCGGAGTGGTTGTCCCAAGTTTGGAAACTCATGGTCAGGTTCAATGGCTCTATCAATATTATTCAATATTGACCTTCTGTACCTGTCAGGACTTGTTGAATCGGATGAAACGGTGCGGTGCCACCAAACCTGGTAGCGAATCCATAGCAAGTGGCAGCAAGTGTAGCAGCACTTTCCACACAAAAAAGGCCAAAAAGGCACGGGAGATGGGAGGCCACCCCCCATAGCAACCATACTGTTCGTCCACAACCGTAACCAAGGAAAGGAGTGTCATATTCTCCCTGCCTTAATCTCCGCCTCGCTGCAAAAGTCTGCCGGAAAGCTGCCGAGCGAGACTTCGCTGGTCTTAGGCGTCAAGCTGCGCAAGAGGCTGCGACGACCTCAGGGAGCAACCAGGTCAAATGACCTGGACAAGGGCCCAAGGAAAGCTCAACCGACATCCGTCAGCCATTGGTAGAACGCCTTGGAAGGAAAATGCTTCACGTGAAGACTTATCAATGTGTATCTGCATCAGGCCACCTAAAACAAGCCTCACAAAGACAACCATCATCCCAACCCCGCTGTTGAGTTCCCATCCTGGGTCAATTCAGATATGAATCTGCCACCAACCTCGCAACATAGAGTCATGCGATATTGTACTGACCTAAAACAACAGAAGTGGTTCTCTTTTGGTTTGGAGTCCAACTCATTGGTCAGCCCACCGCTTGCCGGGAAGTGCCGAAAGCATTGAGCTGCAGCTTCAGTGGGCTCCATGTCCTCCTGAAGGGCCCAAGACTTGAAACGGCATGCGATGACCTCCAACCTACTAGCGATGGCCTCCAACCTAGTAGCGGTGGCCTCCAACCTAGTAGCCACTATAGGACCTTAGGACTTGCGAACATGTTGTCTAGCATGGATGGTGGCCAAATTCAAAGAGCCAAACCAGGAGGTTTTGAAGACCCGCCCTTCTGCTGTGTGTCTCAATGTGTTTCTTCTACATCAAAAAAGTGTGCCAAAGACCTTGGTGAACCTGACAATCAAACACCAACCGTTTGGGCCACGCGGCGAGGCAAGTTCCTGGCTTGTGTACCTACTAGCACGAATGCAATAAGATCTACTGTAATTTGTCTACAGTAGACAGGAAACAGCCCCTGATTTGACAATTGGCGTTCAATAGTGTTCATCCACCCCCTCCCAAATTTTCAATCAACAACCGGCTCTCCTCCTCCGCTTTCTGTAGGATCTTTCGCCAGCTGTCGGTGCCTGACTCTCGGACCAGGTGAGCGATCCGATAAACAAATCCACGACCTCCCAAAGGATGGCGAAAACCGCCTTCCCCATCCAGGTGCAAACGAAATGGAAATAAAACCACTTTGTTTGTGCGAGAAATCTCGACGAACAAACATGAATCGACATGAATTCTACAAAAGTAAGTCTAGTCTCTTTGGAACTCATGAGGAGGATCTTACAAACAACTGGTGCATCTCCGAGCATCCGAAGCTTGCCCGAGTCATGCAGTTGTGCAGTTCAACGATGTGCTCCTCAGACATCTCCTCTGGGGCAAACGGAACGGAAAAAAACACAAACTGAGTGGTAGAGCAGGGGAATGGGGGGGCAGTAAGGCTGTAAGGAGGTGGGCTTTACTGACTGGCAACTACCTTGAAAAGCCACCGATCGGACTCAGAACGGCTCAATGATTTGGTTCCTAGACCTTCAGGCAAACTTAACAAATCCCATCGAATACCACCCAACCAAGAAAATTGGTGGACTTCCCTCGAAAGCAGCGACTTAGAATACAGGCACAGCATGAAAGATAGTGAAAGTCATCGTTGCAAGTCATATTGTGCTGAAAGCCCCCAGTCACCTCATCTTGTGTTGGGTCCGAGTCCATGGGATGATCTAAACCTCTCCTTGGGGCCGGCAAGCTCGCCCTGATAGCGCTTTCGGAGAAAGGCCTCAACTGAGGTCAACTAATTTAAAACATGTTGCTTCAGCACAAGCCAAACATCTTGTTCAGCCATCATGGAAGCATCGAAGAAAGACATGCATCCAACCAGGGTGCCACATCGGATCCCGTGACATGTTGCAAACAAAGACTGGAAAGCAAACAACACAACCTATCGGACCCGAGTGCCCTTCTCCTGCGCCGGTGCAACAGGAAGGAGCAAATCAAGTATTGCAAGGAAGGAGGATCTGCACTCTTTGTGGCTGGCGGCATCGATGGCTCGATGTCCCGAACACATCGAGAAAACATATCGCGAAAATGCTTGCAGCTAAGTTCTAGGGGAGATCCGAAATGACGAGGAAAGAAATTTCGTGACGTGTGTTGTTGTGCGGATTGGGAGCATATGGCAGAGTGGTAGGGGTAGCTTGAGGCCTGTGTGTTATATTGCAAGGTGATGAATTACAAGTGATTACACATCCTGTGTGTTTGGGGGGGCCAGGTTGGCATCCTAACATACTGTGTCATGAGTCATGCTGCATAGCTACATTGGGGATGACCTTGATTGCTTTGGTAAAATGCTTTGGCTCGTCAGTCTGGACAGATTGCGGCTGAGTTCTGAGGGCAGAACGTTGGTGTCTTTGCTCCCCTTGTTGACAGCGCCCAGGGCATCATAGGCGGCCATACGCACCTCCGCATCCGCATTGGCTTGCAACCTGGCAATCTTCAGTTGTTCGCTACAGTACTCACCCTTCATGGACTCAGGATGACTCTTGGTTCAAAGCATTGATTCGAGGTGATCAGATCCCTGGTTTCTGGGACTCAGCCATGGCCTCTACTTCCTTTAGGCCTTTAAATGTCAGGTATACATATATATATATATCCCTAGAGTTCCAAAACCATACACGCTGGTGGACCTGGTTTTGTAGAGTCAAATCCTTTAGTAAAACAATGGCTCTTTGGTAAAGACCATTAAAACATGGTTGTTGGAAGCCTAGGGTGTATGATTATCTTCTTAAAAAAAAAAAAACGCCACGTTCATCTTCACTCGGAAGCCAAGGTGCTTGTAGACGTAGCCTCGTGCTGCATCACACCCAAGCACCGCCAATTGTCCCAGCACATGTGCACAAACCCTGGGTTCGCACTGCGGGCACTTGCCTACCTGCATCTATATAATTACTACTTTACTAGCAGCATGTACCATCCATCCAGGTGTTCTTCGAATGCATCCAAGAGTTGCTTGCATCTTCTTCTCCCGTGTCTTCATTGCCACCCACACAGTCACAAACATCAATATAATATAAATATAATATAACGCAGAAGGTGGAGATTCGCTGCTGAGGGTCCTTCTCAGCTGTGTCTCAGCTGCCACGTCCGACTCAACCATCTTGAAAGTGACGTGTGCGACCTCTATCGCTGCACCTTGGATCACTGAGGGGCTTTCAGGTATAAATAGGGGATGCTCAATGCTCACTGTTTGCGGTAGCATGGATTCAAACTTGGAGAAGTCGACTGACGGGATCTGACTATCGTCCAACAATGCCGGATTTTCACTGTGTGGTGTTCGTCTGGAAAACCAAGGGGTTGTCAATGTGTTACCGAAGTCGACCGACTTAGAGTTAAATGGCAGGAGATGGCAGGAGTCGCAGGAGCTTTTTGCCGAAAACAGGGCCCCGGCTAATCTCCATGAAGCCATGCTGAAAATACAGGCTCAAGAGGTTCAAGGCCTGGGCAGCTTTCTTATCACATATGGCTTTGGGAATTTGGCCTTGTAATGTCAATGAACGAGAGCTGGCTTTTACAACGGGGTGATGTGAAGGCATGTTGCATGGCACCAGTCCTATAAGTCAGTATATACAACCGATGTGCATCAAACCAATAGTTTATGCTCTTCTGTACGTGCACCGCGTGGACTAAGAGACCCTTGTGATTGCAACATGTTTATGGCCTGCCTGCACCCGAATGTCGGAATCGGTGTCCTCCAGTCTCAGCAGAAGCATCTGGAAAAGAGCTGCTCTTGCCTGATCGTGCCAGCTGCAAAGCCAAAAGAAACACATGCTCGATCATACTGAGACTAAGACTTATACGTGTCTTAAGGGACGACTCTGCCCTCTCTCTCTCTACCCTGAATCAACATCTCAAGTCAGCTTGCTGCTTCCACTTCACATGTTTTACTATCATTGCCGCTGCCCAAGTGCACCAGTGTGCCTCATGAGAATTCACAACATGCGGAACTGCAGAACATGCCTCCTCATCGCCAGGAATCATGTCCTGCATCACGTCCATTGCAGCCATCCGGACTTCTGACTCAGAGTCTTCTAGAAGGCCTTGGCAAGACTCGAAAGGTCATTGCCAAAACATCTTAAACACAATCAACCTGTACACATTTTGTGATGTGCAACCCAGTTGTTGCAGCAAAGCAGCCGGCAATGATTTTGCAAACCTCTTGCTCATGCTCCGCTGGCACCATCCAGAACCTCTGGCTCGCCCGAACCGATCCAACACTGAACCTCCCCAAGAAGCCTCCATAGTAGCGTCTTGTTACTAGTATAAGGCCAGGAGCCCCGTTCGTAGCGTCCGATCGCCTAGTAGCAATGCCCTTTGCTCCGCTCGTAGCGTCCTCTACACCCCCCAGCCCGGCCCCACGGCCTGAGCCCAACGATGGCATCGCGTCGCACACCCGAGTCCACATGCTCCACGGCGCGCAGGAAGCTTGCCCAGGCAAGGCCAGTGGCTCCGAGGATCCGCCAGGCGGCACGCCGGAGCTGGCCAAAGCTCTGGGGGAGATGCTTCTTTCGAACAACAACTCTAAGTTCAAAACGACCTGCTAGCATGGGATATGGTAGTTGTTGCTTTCTCATGTCTCATGTGTCTTCTCGGTTCTAGATTCTAGATATGCTGATCCAGCACCCTTTTCCAACAAGTTTGGAAGAAGGTGCAATCATTTCTACATGCAGTCCCACGAATTGATTTTACGTATATATACAGTATGTGTGTGTGCTTGATGTTCAGCATAACGCATAGCTGACAGTTGGTTGTCTATAGTGCTGTTTGCCTGGCACGGCTGAAAGACTCTCCTAAAATTACTACACTTTCCTGCTTTCCAGTGACTCGTCGGCAGCCTTCCACTTGTGTGACGTGATGAAAGGCTTCACCTGAGGTAACCAACTCTTGACGGTCTGGTGTGATCAATGTGTTAAGGAGCGAGTAACTAAAGGTGGGCGCTAGGTGCCCATGCCTGAAACCAGTTATTGAACGCATTTCTGACAAAGGGGCCATCTCTGGCCTACAAACACAGAAGTTCATGAGAAAGGGAGAGTGCTGAGGATGGAACTGCATCTGCGAGGAGTTCAGGATCCTCTTTGGCCATGGTCTGCCTGGGAATACGAGGCCCAAATCCGGGGAAGCGGAATCCCTATTTCCACGGGCCCCGCAGTCTATGTAATCTTCACGCTTTGAGCCATCTCATCACCTAGAGAAGGGTGTGTGATTTTGTTGATCTGACTGAGTTGGGCAGAGCCGAGATGCAAGTGATGAACAACAATGCACGTGTTCCATTGTGGCCCAAACTCCAGGACCTGCAAGCGGCTTGGATCATAATTTTTGGAGGATGCCTCTTCTCACTGCATTCAGTGGAAGAGGTTGAAGGTTGAATAGTTCAATTGAATCGGGTTGGGACAAATCAAAGCCACACGTATGCGGCCAGATGGTAATTTTGCTCATCCACGTGGCTTATTCAGCCCACTCACCAACAATCATACTTTAACAGTGACCTCACCTTCATTCTTGTGACAAAGGTTCCAAACCTTAATTTCATTGTCCAAGACTGAACTACATGATGCGCATGCAAGCACGGCATTGGTGCACAACTCTACAAAAGCATGTTCAATGAGTTCAATGCTCTGGCATATCCACAAGAGCCAGGGCTGCCACGGCCTTCATCAGCAAGGGCAAGTCCTCAACCGTCACCGTGCTCAAGTCCACCACAGTCGGCTCAACTGGCACATCTTTTGCCTCCTCACTGGCCGGTTCTTCTGCGTCGCTTGCGGCTTCCATGAGGCGAGATGCAAAAGATGGGGCAACAGTAAAGACAGTGTTCTTATGAAGTCCTTTGTGATGCGATGTCTTTTCATACGTGCAAGTTTGGTGGATATTACAGTAACATAACAAGTAATCACAACACACATATATAATATATACATCGGTCCACCAATATATAATTTGCAGGTGCGTCTGTTTGTGGAGCTGCTTTGGGGGTTCTACGAAACCTACATCGTCCTAATTCATGACTGCAAAACAGTAATTAGCCTGAGCGATGATGATTTTCATAACATGTGGACGACCTTGTTAGTCATAATATAATTCTCTTGAATCTGAGCCACTGACAGCGGGACCAACACTACAGTGTTGTACAATTGCTAGCCAGGACGACAAACGGCTGTCCATAGATTGCACGTGCCACAAGCGGGACGCTCCTGACTGAACTGAACAAAGATTGAACAAGACTGTGGGCCAAGCTTAAACATGTCAAGCACCAGCTTGCCAGGCGTCGGATACTTGGTGGCCAAAGTCAGCAAAAAACACTGACAAACAGTGACAACCATGCCAAAAACGATTGCATTGCAAGTCCAGCGTTGTTGCAAAGACCACCGCCGTGTGCCAAAATGTGCAGCAAATGTGCTTTTCCCGGTCTGTCTGCCAGGACCCCAACAAATGAACACGTTGGGTCTTGAAATAGAACTCTGCCTATATAGGCTTCAAACATCAAACTGGTAACCAACCTGCATCTACGTTGCTTACATGCCCAGCCTAAATTCGTTCGGCCCCATCTTCAGGCCACATTGGGTTCACCGCTTTGGCCAGGTCTCGCACTGGGCCCTGATGAACAAACCAGCAGGGAACACGTGGACCTGAACTGCGAGCACCAACATTCCACGTCCACATTGTCAAGACAGTCTGCAGTCAGTACATGGTGCTATGTACATCCTCAAAGTCTTTCCCAAAGTTCATGTCCAGGACCATTGACATCTCGTTTTACAGGACTGCTGAGACCACTGCTGGCCAGGTTCTTTCGCCTGGTTAAGAGATAGACCTCACAAGCTTCAGGAGTTTTGCCCGAACTCAGGAAATTGGGCTGATGGGTTGTTGGCATTATTCCGAAAGCTGTCTACATTCAATAATGATATCAGATGTCTCGGGGAGGATTTAGAAGGAAAACGCCACCTGCACGAGATACACTGTATTGATGATTGAAGTGACGCAAAACCATTCACACGCATCCCTGCAAGGGTTCCTTCAACAGGCTTTTCTTGGCCAGCACCTGAGCAGTTGGTGTGATCGACACCACCTGAGATCGTCCATTGCAAATCTCGCTCGATGAAACTCTTCATGGAATCCCTGGAGTGCTTGTACAAAGCGTGAGGAAACACACTTCCTAGAATATGTACCTTGCTACAAACTCTAAACTTGTAAACGGCCGATCCCCAACAAATAGTATCAGCTTCCCTGTTCGCGTGCATCGGTACCAAAGGAAGGGTTCAACTTCAAGTGCATGCATGCACTGGTGCATGCACCGGTGTTGATTCAATTTGATGGATCTAGCAGCTAGCGTTTAGAAACGGAAGCTATCATGTAAGCCTCCACGATCAGCAATATGTTTATAAGGACAGGCCATGACCACATGTTTGACATAATTGATATGTCTTTTTGGTTCAATGATTTGAAGACTTGTCCTGCTCCGGGCGAGTTCACAGAATGAACAAGTGAGGTCCTATTTTGTTTTCTTGAGGCCCGGCCCACACGCACAAAGAGCCTTATAGAGCGTGAATTGAACACCTAAACAAGGTCTTATGGAGATGGGAAATTGTTGCTAGAACCGCGCTCTGATCATGTAATTGAAGGCATGTTTCATAGTTTCATTACAGTATATAATATACGTTTCTATGTTGCACTGACTGAGTCACCGGTGTTCAGTACAAAGATGTAACAAGCACTCCATTGGCATCCGCTTCAACCTCCCTGACTCAGCCAGGTGACACATGCGAGGCCGGTGCAGCGTGAAGATTCCGTAAGGCTTCGCCCGGCTAACGGTGAAACAGTGTAAAGAGCATCGAGCTCTGAGACATTTGCAGATGTATCAAACAGAATTGTATTTACTAGCTTCTTGTTACTACTAGTAAGGCACTTGTTACTAGTAGCGTGGCACTTGTTCCTAGTAGAATTGTAATTAGTAGCTTCTTCATACTACCAGTAAGGCACTTGTTACTACTAGCGATGCACTTGTAATTACTAGCGATGCACTTGTATGATCGGGGATGACCCCAAAACAGAAGTTTCTGGAGATTTGTCGAGATCAAAGTTGCGGCAATCGACCTGCATAATTGCTGCTGCTCTGCATAGCTGCTGTCTTTCATAGTAAATTTTCTCAGGAACATTACATTTCAACCATGTGTGTTTGCGGAGTGGGAGGGCTGCTCGGTGAGCAAAACCATGGTTGCATTGAGTAAAGAGTGACTGAAGACTCGTCACCTCTGAAGACAACGATGTCACATCCATTTCAAAGAATGGCCACCCTCAGTGCGAGCAGGGCTGGTCGTTGTGTCACAACTGCGAGAAAGGAGCTGGTGAATGTTAAAGACTTGTTAATTACAGTTTGTCTCTTCTGTTGTTCTAGGAACTGCCAGTTGCCAACAATTGCTGCTCAAAAGCAGTCAAACACTGACAGATTGGCGTCCAAGTTCTTTTCATGCCATGCACCTGATTCAGCCAAAGCACCCTGGTTGCATGCCGAAGGAGTTCAGGGATGCATTCATCATCTCATTCTTCATGATAATGGGACCTTCGAAGGCCTGGGAGGAGAGGATGTACTGCGCGTGCAATGGAGAATGACAGGTTACAAATGGGTACGGTAAAGGGCAAAATGCTGGACGTCTGATCCTGATCTGCACCTACTCGTGGGCGGCTTTTGTGACCATGCATGATCATGCCGGCAGCAAACAATTCTGAGACCATTTGGGCTCCACGGTCCACGGTCCACCCCCCAAATGACTGGAAGCACAAAAAGTTCCGGCTGCTCCTCAAGGCCGTCAACAAAGACCAACAGAAAATCAGGCAGCAACGCCGGACGGTGTGAGAGAGTGTGGACGCACCATGGCACGCTCAAAACGATGTCCCACAGTTCGATGGCGAGGCAAGCACTACTTTTTGGCTCTGACACGTCGAGAAGCTGCTGAAAGCTCCAACTGCAGCCGCCAACCTCCACGAGCCGGGCATCGCCGCGTGAAATTACTTTGTGCCACAAGTCTTGTGCTTGTTCCTGGTCGCCAAGTCTTAAACATCGGAATAAGGCTGCAAAGAGTAATGGCCCTTCCAAGGCAGCATAAGACTTTGCAAGTGAACAAAGCAACCGGAGCTCTTTTTCGAGGCCATCGGACCCCTCAACGCCTTCAGCTTGAGAAAGCAAGGGGCCCAAGCCTGGAATGTGAAGTGGTTGGAGCCTCCCGTGACGCTGCAGCGCTTCCAAGATTTGCTCAGCTCTCTTGGGCCTCAAGACCTCTAGCAGCATAGAGCTCGAAGCTGCATCCATCGAGCCTCCAGCTATCCGAAGATCTGCCTCATCCGCAATGGCCTCCAGCAAGCTCTCGTAGAGATCTGCAGGGTTGGCGCCCCTTGATCGACGTGCCTGCTGCCTGTGGTATCTCTTACCCTACGGATATATATATACTGTATATCATGAAAAAACATGAGACATTTCACAACAGGGTCGTTTTATGAGAAAAGGCTACCAAATGAGCTGTGCAAAATACGTATGCTTAAACCCCTATGTTGTATAACTTTCTTACGCTCCTGCTTATGCTTTTCTTACGCGACCACAGTGTGAGCTTACGCGCCACGGATGTTGGAGAAGACCTTACGCAGATCTTATGCATCTGGATTTTCTATCATGTTCACACATTCCAAGGGAAATACTTACGCGAAGGCTCCTTTTGCATGTAAATGTGCATCCATATGGCAAGCTTATGCAACATGCATGTCTCACAACTCCCTTACGCAACCTTACGCGTTTCATGTTTTGCTTACGCCGAAGTTCCATATGACAAGGCTTTTACTTGGTTCATCTTGGGAGGTTTCTTGCTGTGCTCAATTCTGAACACAGCTGAAGCATGCTGTACACTTGTCAGCATGTATTCCAGCAACACATCTAACACAGATTGGACACCTGTGCAATTGCCGAAGGTCCAAGCACTGGTGGCTAGCTCTTGGGATTTGAAGATCTTGAGCATTTCCAGGGCGTTGGCTGCGATCGCATCCAATAGAGGTATATCTTTTAGTTCGAGCTGGGCAAAGGCCCACGCTGTGTTTGCGAGGGCTTGCCCTGAAAACTCAGGCAAATGCTCTTGGCCGACTGAAGCCAGAGTATCAACTAAGTATAGATCCTGCCATTGCATGCTTCCCAAGGTCCACATGCTGTTTGACACGCTCTGCGCTCCAAATTGCCACACATATGCCCCGACCCTTTCTGTCAGAAGGCTCCAGACATGGAAGGAGCCGACATGTAGAGTGGCAAAGGCTCACAAAGTGCTAGAGAGTTCTTGCGCACCAAACTCTAGTCGCCGCAGTAGCGCTGCTTCACCAAGAGCATCCAGCACAGGCAAATCCCAGACTTCCAGAATGGCCATGGCCCAAGCAGCATTCGCAATCTCCTGCTATCCGAATTCTGGACAGGCGACCTTCAAGGACAGCATCTCAACCCATTGGTGGTCATGATGCTTCATGGCTGCCATTCCTCATAAGGTATTCGATATAGCTTGTGGCCTAGACTCCGATGCCCGCCCCTGAAAGCATCTCTTGAGGAGAACCATCAAGGGCCGGTCGAAAGCGGCCAAAGTGGTAAAGCACCATGCGAGGTTGGAGACGTTCTGCGGATCCAACGTCAACTCAGGGCACCTGGCGCTTTTTTGACATCGACCCACTGTGGGATGCGACAAAAAGAACGTCTACACAAGTCTACACGGCAAAGAGTGCAAACACGTGCAAACAATGAAACTCTGAAGCTTTATCCTGACATTCCCATACCCTCGAGGCCCTCGCCTGGAGCTCACCAAGGCCATGGCTGACAGATCGTGAATGTTCAATCGGCTCAAGGTTCAAGACGTGTTGGCCACCTCCTGTGCACCAAAGCTATCGATGCAATCAGGCAAGGCCTTTGTAAGTGTGGCAGTGAATGGGCGGTGGTCAAAATGCAAGCGTGCAAAGCACCAAATCATGTTCGAGATGTTCTGAGCCGAAGCGTTGCTCGTCAACTCCCTCCCGAAAGCTTGTGCAAAGGCATCTAGCAGTTGCGCCTGCATGGTTTTCATGGTGCCCAGTTCCTGGTCTGCTTTTTCTTTTCTCCTCCAGCAGCTCCAACAAACACAAACACACCCAAACTCAACCCCCCACAATTGGCATCCATGTCCAAAATATTCCAAAATGCCAAGGGTCTCATGTGAAATTTGCAATCTCCTGGGGTCGGGCACCATGCAGCTGCTTCTAGGCAGCGAGCAACAAATCATCTGTCAGCTCTTCCTGCTGCTGTCTCAGCTTGGTGCAAGCCCAAATGCTGTTGGCTAGGGCTTGAAAGTCAAAGTCATCGATCAAACGAGTTGTTCGACTCCTGGTTGTGCCAAAGGAGAACTCCGGAGAACCCAGGAGAACCATGAAATGAAAGGGAACAAAGCTTTGAATTGACCTGGTATGTGCATTCGCCGCGGAAAATATAACATCAGGGCGCAGTTTACTGCAATCTAGATTCAACAAAGCGGTCGTGGGTGGTTAACCGCTGCGTGCCAAGCGGTGTAGTGCTGTAGAGAGGTTCACAGCACTGAACTCAAAGCCGCGATGGGCAAACAACTCAAGGATTTCATCACCTCTGGACCGGGCGATCTGCTGGTTTAACCAAACTGCCTTGGCCTTGTTCAGGTGACGAAGTCGCGTCATGCTCGAAAGAATTGAGATCAACGGCGCTGCTTTTGTGTTCAAGTCTGAAGGTGAAATTGAATGAGAGCTGCCTTTGTTTCTGTTGACGTAGTGTGCCAATGCAACACAATATAA